GTTAATCTAGAATGTATAAACGAGTTTCTAACAGACTCCCACACTTCTGTATACAAATTCAAATAACCTATAAGCTGTATAAATAGAAGATAATTAAGTATAATGAATATCTTTCTTCACAGTAGTTGGGAGCCTTCTGAAATTCTTTGTTTCATAATTCAAATCAATTAGAAGGTCATCTACTATGAAGAATTTGCAACCTTCTAGGTAATTTCCTCAGAAGAGGATGAATGTCACTTGTTTTAACCACTCACACTACTATACGGTAATGTGTTCTCTGTCAGTCAGTAGACATTAAAATGATGTCACATAAGGGATGCTTAACTTTGCAATTTGTACTGTCATGGCATCAGCAAAATGTGAGCATGCCATGAATTATGAGAAGAATTATGCATGACATAGGAACAACAAAAGCAAGAAATAAAAATATATGTTATTCTTGATTTTGGTATTATTTACTATTGAAACAGAACATTTTCAGGGATCCTGTGGAAGTACATCAAGTTACATGTACATTTATTAAATACTCACTGACCTATGTTACATTCTTAATTTAAAATGAGACAAAACTCACCTTCAGAAGTATCTGACAAACCTATGTTACATCTTTAATTTAAAAAGAGAGAAAACCCACCTTCTTAGGTGTTATTACTTTAAAATACTGGAGAACATAGTAATAAATATCATATTATTTAATGGTTATTTTTACAATAAAAATGAGGTTCACAATATTCAGTTATCAAAGACTTAGGTAAGCTGCTGTCAAGGAATGTGGAACAGAAGTTGCAAAGAAAAACATGTAATCATATTCTGTGCAATGACCAACATTATATTCTGGGTTGGCTCACAAATTGTAATATACACACTTCAGTAGTACATAGAATATGATTTCTGTTGCCTCCCTAATCTGCTTTTAAACATGCATTTTGGTTATTTGATCAGCAGCTGATATCAGACAGACTTATTAATAGCACTGTCGCTTTGTAGTAGAAGGGTACATGTACGTATAATGACGCTTATAAGTTAACAGTTCTTGAGCACAGCTGACACTTACAAGCATTTGTGAATTTATTATTCACTAATTGCATCACTCATTCATCATGTAGTTACCAAATAGTCTCAAAATTTGCACCACTTTTGATTTTAGAAGTTATTATCTACAGAGTATCACCACTGCTTCTGATTTATCACAATTTATTTAAATGTCAAGAAAACACAAACAAATACAATTACATACTGTGATGACATTTCAAAATGCCAACACCACATTGAGTTCACTTCATACTAAAGAAAGTAACTAGGACAGATATCAAAGGAAGATGTTATACAAAATAAACAAAAGTTTGTTTACTGACAGATAAATCATAAAATGACTTAGTAGAAATCATTATATCTAACATGTGGTATTGAATACATGTATAGATTTTTATACACACCTACCTGTATGCTTAAGAATCACCATGATACAGGTTGTTGTGTCATCTGTACCTAAGACAGTTATGTTTTCTGCAAACAAAATAATTATTGTTAATGTATTAAAAAAAAAAGTTTTCAAAGATTAGCTCAATTTTTCATTGAAAGATTATGTCAAAACAACACTGCTTTTGAAATGTTTTATACAGACTTGAAAATTCCAAGATTAAAAAATCCTCAATCAATTTGTAGTAGCTTCGTTCCATGTAAAGTTGTTAATGTATCGCTTGTTACACAAATAAAACCAGACTTCATTTCTACATATATTATTTTAAAAAAGCTAATAAAAGTAAACTCAATACAGACATGAAACTACACCAAAAATATGCAACAAAATTTAAACCAAAATCAATCAAAAATTTTAAATTTGGCAATTATACATTGACAAGTGACAGTGCTGACAGGAATGAAATAAGATCTACATAATGAAGACAAATGACAACAATGTATATTCCCTTCACAAATCTGATCACTTACTATCATGAGGAGAGGTTACTGCATACTCCCTCTGGTGAACATAAAGCAAACCAACTGGGCCAATGACCTTGGGAACTTGGGCAATAAGTGCTGCTGTCACCTCCTGAAACAGAATAAAACAAAATACATAAACTTGTAAACATATCAATAATACAAAATAAGAAACTGTACAAACAGTAAGTTTTAGACTACAACTATGTTTGAAAGTTCTTCACTAACTAGATATTCAAAGGTAGTTTTAAACCAGGTGTGTAGGACATACACTACAGCTTTGCATTAATTGAGCAATATAGACAGACCCCATCTCCTGAGTTGTTGATGCTGCAAGAAAGCTTGTAGGCAGAACTCAATTTTAAGGTTGTCCAGAAAGCTGTATTGGTTGTTGAAAAACAAAAAACATAGACCCTCAAGAAAATATCCAAGAAGTTTTGTTACATTGGGAAAAATAAGCTCAAACCAAGTTATTATTACATAGTATCTTAAGGAAACAAATAAACAATGACCTGTAAAACTTTTAAACAGAACAGTGATCTTGGCCAATCACATTCAATGTTTTCAATCTAACAAGCTTGGCCCGTTGCCAAGAAAAGTAAAGTACTACCTGTAGAAAGACTAGACTTGCATCAGTACTTTAACATATACTACTATAACACAATACCTGAGCACTGCACATCTACAAATACATACACATACTGCTGATATGTATTGTCATTCACACACGTAATTTCTATGGACCTGGACAGAGACAAAGCTAGCTTTATTTTATTTATTGTACCGATCAAAACTTTTCATAAAAATTTGTTTGTAGTTAATATTATGCTCTGTTTAATCCGTAGCTAGGCCTTCCATTTTGCCCAGACTCCGTTGGTCGTGTCTGTCTAATAACCATAGGCCCATAAATGCGTAATTGAAATAAGGTCAGTATTTCAACTGTGATGATTAACGATGAAAATTCTGAGTCTGATTTTGTAAATTTGATCATCTTAGTTTCTGCTGAAGGTTTATCGGTAAGAAGTTGAGACAGCCATGTTAGTTTTATTGTCATATGCATCTATACTAGAAATTATTGTCACTAAATATGTGTGCTATCAGTATTTGTTTTCATTACCACACAGTTATTCATGCTCAGTTGAACTCCATAAAAAATGTATGTGCATAAAGGAGCACAGAGGCACAGCTTGTTCACAATAGACAGTTTAGTGATTAGAACAGCATTATTAGCCAATCACAATTGGTGGATTATACTAACACTTCTCTTGTACAAAGAGAACAAAAAATGTACTGAAAGATATTTTTATGGGGGTTTAAATTTTTGAATTTGTAGTTAAGAAATTTACCAATGAATTTGGTCAAGGATTGGAGTCAACATTACATGTGTAGTGTGGGCATGGATAAGCACAGAGTAAACTGCGATGATACTTTGGGTAAAGGTCTGTACCAGGGAGCTAGTTGTCTGTCAGACAACATGGGAGATTTAAGTTGGTCATCTGAGGAAGTTTTCAGTCGTCTCGGATGACCGTTAAAACTGAGTAATGCTTGTAGGTCATTTTAAAAGGAGTGTTACAAGAAGAGCTACTCTCAATGTGAAACAATAGCACAGAATGTGTTGGAGAACAAGCTGACTAAAGACAAGCAGGGGACCTTGTGGAACAGCAATGGCCAGTAACAAGATCAAAAAGCTGATCAGAGAAATCTTGCCCTGACTTCTGAACAATGAATTATTGTTGAAGACACTGTTAAAACTTTTGGTCCTGCTGACCAAAATTCTGTCCCTAAAGAATAAAATACTTCCTTATCAGCAACTCTAGCAATGCTGCCTAATATGAAAGTACATCACCTGATCGTTGGAGGTGAAAACAGCCCTGCTACAAAAGTACTAAAAATAAAATGAATAAAAGAAATACAGTAGGTGGCAATTGACATTCTTAACAGGAAAAGGCATTTATGCATTGGCAGTTGTTCTTGACTCCCCAATTCAAGCACCCTAAATTTGTCAGCCAAGCAATACAGAAAGCAGAATACACCAAAACTAAAAGGTTGGTGGGACTTTTGAGTGAACCTGAAGTGCGAGAATAAAATCAAGCCAATCCACCACAATGCACCCATTCCAAGTGATGAGGTTGAAAGTTTTAAATATGGTCCAGACAAAAACATGCAAGAAAAAGAAGTAAAAAGACACTGAAATGCTGCTTTATGATATCAATGAGAGAGAAGAAAAAGAAAGAAATTAAAAGTATGAATAGGAGAAATAACTAGCAGACAAAATCATAACTGACTCTGGGCTACTGATATGGTGGAAAACTTAACAGACTTGCCAAACAAATATTGTGCAGTCCAACAACATAAACATGCTCCAAGAGGATTTTCTTGAAAGCAAGATATATTGCAAACAAAACTTGGTATTCACTGCTACCCCAAAATATATACAAACTAGTTTTTCCTTGTCAAGATAGAGCAAAATTAGGTAGCATATAAAAAGACTATAAAGACATTCACGTTGAAGTTAAGGTTTAAGGTAGTTCTGTAATGAACTTTCTTTCCTGGTTTATAGATGCTATTTGTATCACACTCAGTAAGCTGGAATTCTTTTAGTTGGCTGCAGGAAAGAGCTTCCATACACACTTACAATATACACGAGTGTAAGTAACATCATATACATACATATATATATATTTCATGGATAACACAAAACAGAATTTCATATATAAACAAGCTGCTGTGGTGATATCATCATTAAATTATACAAATTATAACTAAAAAAGGTTTGAATTTTTTTTTGCTATTGTGTTTTGAACCTTCAAAGAGCAAAATGTATCCTTCATTGCAGCCCTATTTCAGATAAACCCTGATCATTAAGTTACCAATGTTTTCTAACCAACTGTTTTAAGGGCATCATAAATATCAATCATCATCACTAAGAATTCTAGAAGCAATGGGGCCCAAAGGAAGTTGCATCTACTATTATAAGCATTTATAAACTTGTTTTTGTACTGCTTTTTTTTACATTATATGGTGGTAAAAGTTCCATTGCTTTTTATTTTTAAATGAAGAAAATGGTTGACCAATATTTTCTACTTTACAGCAATATTTTAAAGCACATTAAACTATGTTAAATATCTTAGCATGTGTACAATACTAAAAGGTACAGTTAAGAAGTATTTATGAATATTTGTTATGACAGACAGGCAAAGTCAAAATACAACTAAAACAGATATACACTACAGTCATTACTTTAATCAGTATAGCATCAACAGAAAGGTTGATGGCTTAATCAATGTTTTACCACTGCCATTTTCAAAACTCTAAACCTAAAATACACCTAAACATTTAGCAAGATACAAGTTTTTATTACAATAAAAAAATACACATTTTGGAAGCATAAGTTCAATAATAAGATAAAAATACCAAAAATCCTAGTAAAAAGAGTTTTATGAAAATATAAAATAAAAGCTTGTAAATTTATCAAGCATTTATTACATCATTATTTACATGCATATCCTACATGAGAATAACCTCAACCACTACTGTGCTACAATACTGAATACCAGTTTCTCTTTTCAAACTTAACACAACCTATGACATTCTTAGTGATTTTCTTTAACAATACATTACTTAATTTTCTCACTGATACATTTTTCAGTCCTGTTTAATTGTAGGAGGGCTAGTTTCTTTGTGCCCTCAGATTAACTACCCATTTCTAGCAGCTGTGCATAAAACTTCATTTTTAATTTCTTAGTTTTTGGTGATGGCTAGGTTTTCTTTGCAATAAATTCAAAGTTTTATTGAGTTATAGGTTTAACAATATCTCAAAAAATGTATTGTATCTATCATTAGAGCAAAATAAGTGTGGTAATCCAAAAGCTGTTGACTATTACACCTACTTGAAAGTGTGAAATAAAAAATATCATCATGCCAAGTTCATTCATGTTCTCCTCAATACCGAAATTCACCTTTCTGGAAACATTTAGCAATGTAAAAGCTTTGGTCTTTTTAAAACCCAAAAACAATACATACATACATTAAAAAATACCAATAAACTAATTATTGTTAGACCACAGCTAGTTACATTTCACATGTTTGTGTATGTGAAATATAACTAGCTAGTATCTCTGAAGTAAGGTTAGGCCTCAACTGTTAATGATGGTACTTACCTTAAAGTGGGGATAGGCTTCAAAAAGGGTCCTTGTGTCAGGTGGCACATCTTCAAGCATCACTCCATTTATAAGCAGTGGCATGCTAAAATGATGTCAATGACAAAACATTTTTAATCAACAAGTTTACACATATAATAAAATCCCAAAGTATTTATGAGATGATGTTAAAACTAACAGCTAGGATTTGTTTAAGTATGTTACAGGTATGCAAAGTGTTAAAATGAAGATTGGGCCTATAACTTATTCAATGTTTTCTTTATTGCATTGCAGGAAAAATTACGGATACTTTTTTTATGAAACAAAAATGCTTACCTCTGTTGAAGATTTTAATTACCATAATCTTCCAAACATAAACAAATATAATAAGCTCTCTAACCTTCACAAACAAAGAATCAACTCTGCCTTATCACCATAAATAATATAAAACTTTTGCAATACTGCAGTCAAAGTAATCCTCAGATGACAAGAATGTTAGTGTCGTATAATCTCTAATTGCGCATTCACCATAGTGTATGCTATCTTTGCAATCTCGGCCAACAAACAGACACTGTCAAAACGTTAAAGTATCCATAAAATCACCAAAAGATAGTTTGCCTGATCACTTGGTATTTAGAAAGTTGTGCCAATTATTCAAGGACAGTGAGTTGCACTTATATTTGTTCATTTTAGGTTTATTTTCTTAATTAAAATGAGTTATTTAATTTTTTTGGTCCAGAAAAATATAAAAGAGGGTAAAATGGGTTTAAAACTTGTAATTGTATGTGTCATATAAAACCTTCTGATTAACAATTAAAAAATAGTCAGCTCAATTATAATTTTAGTGTGGTAAGAAAACTATTCAATGCCTGTGATTGTAAACTGCTTGTGTTGTTTTTGAATCAGAACAGAGTAAACATGGTTGACCTTTAGAATACAGACATTAATAGTATTCTTAATATATTAATGAAAATTTTAACTTTCACAGAGTTGCTATGCACACTCATTCATAATGGTTGAATATATTTTCAGGAATTGTTTCTATACACACTTATAGCGTTTAAAACATATTTTAGGCATTGTTTCGTGTATGTATTTATATAATAAGATGAAATACTAGTTATAGATACAAATATGAAGATATATTTTATATACGTAACGTATTCTACTCTGAATCTAATTTCTAAATTTAATAGTACTAGTAGTAGTAATACTAATACTATAATATTAATATTATAAATAATTAAGTAAATGCATTGTACATTGTCGACGCAGGTAAAAACTTGAGTAAAACCTTCTAACCAAAACTTAGACTAGACTGTGCTATTTTCAATATTCTTAAAATGAGTGATGAATGAAGTTAACTTTAAATTTTATCTCATACGATTATCTCATATTAGTCATACTCAGTTGCTCAAGATAGATAGTATTAAGTACTATAGTATATAATATATTACTATTAAATATTATTAGTATTAGGCCTAATGTTGAATTCTGAACATAACCGCAGTATGAAACTTGTCTTTTGGTTTCAAATAATAATAAATAATATTGAATAATGTTAAGATTATCCTGTATACCTACCTTCTTTGTGCATACCGCACACTAAAATTGAAATTCCAAAACGGTTATTTATACCGTGCACTACGTTACGTCTTCAAGGTTTTGCCTTAGCTTTTCTATTCTTTGGTTTACAGACAGATTCTGTGATTGACTGCTGACAAACACAAATATCGCACACACACTTCCGTTCATGCGCAATTTTCATGAGTAAAAATTTCATAAAACAAAAATATATCCAAAAACAATACCATATTGTTCATTTATTTTTATATATATTATAAAAAGAAAACTTTACTTATAAATATTTCAGCAAGAATTCTGCCACAAATCATTACTCGTAACTTTCTCTTTTTTTTGGAAATTTCGGTGTTTACAGAAATGTCCTCCACGAAGCATTTAGAAAATAATAAGAAGCGAGGACATTTCTCAGATTACTCTAGTTTATACTTCTGCTTGTAAAGATAAATAACTTTAATGTTATAACATCAAATTACCCCCAACAGTTATTTAGCTCTCAGTAGTATAGATTATGTACGAGTATCTGTAAAATTTGAACATTTTATTTACACGTTGGGCCTAATTCAATCCTAATGTCTCAAAGTTCAACTCCGTGATTCCAAACGTATTTCATATATTCATACCATTACCAACTATATTTGCCTGAATTAACAGAGTAAGTAATTAACACTATAGAAACTTCCTTTTAATTTCACAAATTTTAAAAGTAAAATTTTAATTTGTAGACATTTTGAAATATAAATCTAGGCCAAGAAATTTACTATTATGTAAATTTTGAAGTATTTATAGTATACTATTGTTTGCATCATAATTTAGATATATATAACATTGTGAATATTAATAATAATAATATTAGAGTTAAACCTTTAGAGACCTGTACACTGATGGGGATGTGTTACAAGATCCAAATTAAAATAGTTTCCACTGTTGGCATTGGTTATTTTGCTAATATTAGCTTAGCAGTGTAAAAGTATAATAGTATTTTGATAGTGTTAGTATACCTACTAGTATACTCTTTCTGTGATAGGCTCATGTAGGAGCTTATAGGCAAGTTGACAGTTATATGTGGAACTAACATTAAATAGGCATTCATACTTCTGCTATATAGTATCATCACCACTCAGTTCGTTTGTGCCATAAGTGAAATAGTTCCAGATTGTGTACCAGTTATCATTTGAATTACTTCATGTTTGTGTGTGTCATAATACAATTACTGTCCAATCTGAGCTAGCTGTCAATGTTATAATGGATAGTCCAAGCAACTGGTGGTTCTTTATACTGTGTTATTTCAATGGTAAAACCTTTAATGTGCTTTCATAGCTATGCTCCAGGTTTCACTCTTCAAATGTGGATAACTAGTTATGATTCTTTACCTACTAATAGAGCCTACCACTAAGAATAAAAATATTATGCAATATATATTGTGTACCTAAAAGCACAGATTGAAACTAAGGGTGAAAAAACTAAAGCTAAACTATTTCATAAGATATAATCAATGGACTGATACCAAAAATCTCAATACTGCCTTGTGCTATTATAAAAAGAGACTAGAAATACATCTATCTTTTAGTTTGACGTTAACTAAAATATAGTAAGCAACCTGCATTGCAAGTTTTAGTACATCTACTCCCATATTTACTCATGATCTTGTTATGTACTGTTCTGCCAAAGTATATTTACATGTAATGATTATACATTTAATCAGTCACAAACATTTGCTGTAATTGGAATCAAACATGAATCCATTAGCACATGAACTGGGCACTCTAGCTGCCACACCACGAACTGCACAAATGATGGTTACGTTATACACCAAAAGAAAACAAGTTGTACCTTATATTATTATGTAGAATTGTAGTTAGAGCTATTTACAAAGTGATAATGTTGTTTAACATAACTTTTGGACAGTAAAGAACCATTTGGTCCTTCAAGACTGTCACTGCACATCCAACCGTGATTAAAGTAAAAAATTTAAACCCACCATTAATTTTATTGATTATGTTCTTGAACTCCTATATGGCAACTCATTCTATAAGTTAACCACCATGTTAAGAGTATAAAGTTGTTTTAACTGGAGATTAACCTGTCTTTTTCCAAATCTTAAATTTGTGTCCTCTTCTCCTGTTATCTTAAGAATACAAGTTTGAGCTTATCCTTTCAATGGTATCTTAACCTATCCCCGAAGATATCCCTTCCAGTGTGTCCGTGTCCTTTATTAAATAAGGAGACTAAAACTGCACACACTATTCCAAGTGAGGAATAGCTAGTGCTCTTCATAAAGGGATAAATACCTCTTGACTTGTAATCAGTATGTCTTTAAATAAATCCTAAAATTGTATTAGTTTTATACAAGCAATAGTGCACTTCTTCAATGGCAAATTATGAGCACCCAAATGTGAGTGTTTTTGTATTAAAAAGACTATTGAAAATGATTAGTCAAAAGTAAATAAATGGAAGTATCATGGTGTTGAGAGGTGATTGATATTTTGGTGTAGTTGAGAGAAGTAGTGGCTTCATGTTTTAGTTTCAATTGATAAACCTGATTCTGACACATGCATTCAGCCTCAATGAGGAATGTTTTTCATTGGGGATAATTCTATGTTCAGTTTATTGGAAAGCTTATGATTGTCTGTCAAAGGAAGGATATAATCATATGATGGTTCACTGTTAAATTGCACCAGCTCTACTAGCCATCATACAATTGCCTGTGAAGAGGTTTGGTGACACATGAAAACATAAACCTATGGTAAAGACATAGCCATTTATTTATTATAAAAATCTGAAAATGTTTCCTCAAGTGCTGCTGTTATGTATACTTCAACTAACATGCATAAAATTTCCGAGACCAAATTTCTTCATTAGGTCACTTTTTAAAGACATTCAAATACTGCACACAAAAAAAAATTATTTGGGTTTATAATAAACTGGTAAAGTTTGAGGACATTGGTAAGATGACAAACTAGAGTTAGTGTGATCAGACATCTTGGTTTTGCTGGGACAGTCCTGGTTTTTGGAATGTTGTCCTGGAATCCCAGTAGATCCTTTTGGGATGCCTAAATATGTCCTGGTTTTTGTTTTGCTCAGTACTCTGTAACATTTTTATACTTTTAATATGTACTTTGAACCTCTGACAACTGTGAATCAACAAATATTGTTTTTTTTTTCAACCGAGTAGAGAAATTATCACACAACTCAAAATGACTGACCATAGCTTTTTAAACTTTTTCTGAAGTTGGCTATAAGCAGGCTGAAGTTGGCAACATTATGCTACTGTTGCATACATTACTAACAAATGTGATTTAGCACCAGCCATAACAGAGAGGTGGTTGAATGCAAATGATTGGTGTTGTTCACAACTGATATTTGATTTTAAGTCATGAAGTATTCATTTAAAGTAACTCAAAGATGAACGTGAAATACAGTTGCACAGAATTTTACAACAAGGTTGTTCAGTAACTAGTGGCATGTCTCACAAAAATAGTCGGCTGAATGAAATTAGTTTCCAATTATTACTGTTTTTGATTATGCCAGCTACCCAAGTCTCACGTGAAAATAATTGATAAGTTGAATGAGTCTGATGATTAATCAGTTAGAAAACTCCATCAATCACCCAGCTCTAGTCATATCATTACTAAGTCAATCTTCATTTTTTTAAAGTTTCTACGTATTAAAATATAAGCTTGCTCTAAAAATTATAAACAAATAAAGCATGTTTACATGTTTGGAAAATTTGTTTTTGAAAAATATAAAAGAGGACCATTTGATTTGAATAATGTGGGTCCTAGTGATTTTTCTCCTCATATACCAAAACTTAGATTCAGCTTAGGAGATTTAAGTTAGTCCTAAATCAGCATACGATAACAATGCAAAATAATTTTCATATTAAATTAAATATATGTTAAACATTTTAAGCAATACTAGTAATGAAATTAACATTATAGAGCATGACATATCATTGCACAAATGGTCACATATAAGTTATTTCATAGTATTGTTGAATTTAATATATGTTTCCAACTTGTGAAGAAAAAGAACACTGATAAAGTACTGCAGAAGAATGCCTAATGAAATCAGCTTTATAGAAGTTATGCTATTCCTCAATTCATGATTTCATTTATGACTTACTAAGTATGTGGAGCCAATTCAGATTGTCTTATTCTCTATATTTAGATTTTCTGCTACTAAAACCCTCTAGTATAAAATTAATAATCGCGTTTCTTACTCTGAGTCATTAGCTACAACTTAGAGAATAGAGCATCTATGGGTTTTGAACTGTAATTCAGATATTGAATTACCCTAGGCCTTGAGCTACATCTCGTATAACTGAGTCTTTAAAAAGTATTTTAAAATATTCTGTAATCAGATGTTTCTTTGGC